AGTGCTCATCCTGCACATTTTTATTTAAGGCGACTGGTTAAAAACAAGTGATTTTTGATTTTTGAACCCAAAAGAAAGTTTTTTTTTTTTTGCAAAATAAAACTCAAACAACTCAAGGCCACCTTTGCAAATACGGCCCTCCCTTCAGAAATGAAGATTTTAAAATTGTGCTTGCTAAGTGGTCAAAATTAGGAAAAGAGCCATAGGTGGCTATTTTTGCAAAACAAGCCTTTCGGCGTCCCGTCGGGACGTTCCTGGCTATTTGGACAGAAAATGGCATCCCCTAAATTTATTTTTGACAAAATGATGCATTTTTTGGTTATTTTTGCAAAAACGAGGCCGTACTCGATGAGGGTTGCCTACGTATCTCACATCCGGTGAGAATCAAACCCGCGTAGTTCGATCAATTTTGATGCACAGACAAATATGATTTGTTTTGAAATGCTTTTCTCTCTTTATTATTGAAATTTTGACAGAGTTTTTTTGAATACCGGGATTGTCAAAACCAGGCGTTTTTCTATCCTACCTCACTCTTTGGTTTTTCTCTTCTATTGTTTTTTATTTTTATTTTCTAACTCAAGAAGCCGGTCAACATACAAGCCAAGCAAATTAATGCACAAGTAGCACGTAAAGAATGCATCAGGATGGTCCTTTAATTTTGGGTACACCTATCCTAGACGGACTCAGTCCCTGTGTTGAGTCCCCTAAGTCAAATGCACGTGATGCAAGCAAACGTACCTACTAGGGATCCGGCATGAGGCTGTGTTATTCTAAGCTTAAATCCTGGGTGTATTGTTCTAGACCTGGCTTACCCGAGCGGACAACTCGAGCCGAGCGGGGGCAGCGTACCGGGAATACAGAAGCTTCACCGGCTTTGCAACTTGTCCGAACCTCGTTCTAAGATTAGGATATGACTCTAACAGAAAAGAAGCCACGCGAAGCGCACGCTCCCCAGAAGATTTAGAAGACTCAGAGAGAAGGAGGGTTTCGTAGCAATTTATAAACAGTTCAAATGGTTAAAAGCGACATTTAGCACATTAGGCTCAAACACGTAAAAATCAGATTATAAACAAAACCAAGTATCACAATTATTCTAAGCTCGAATTTTGAACCCTGAACCAGATATTCTGGGTTCTTGTCCTCAGCAGAGTCGCCAGAACTGTCACACCTCCTTTTTCCGCAGTGGGATAGGGAGTTTTTCCAATTTAAGTGACATGAATCGAAATGAGATTATTTATTTATTTCAGAGTCGCCACTTGGAATAATTTATGGTATCCCAAGTCACCGGTTTATTTTAAATCCCAAATCGAGGAAATTTGACTCTATTTCTGGTCTGCGAACACAGAAGACCGGGTAAGGAATTCTGTTAACCCGGGAGAAGGTGTGAGGCACTCCCGAGTTCTGTGGTTTTAGCAAGGTCGCTTAACAATTAATACTTGGCCTAATTATCTGATTTATTACATATTTAAAGCCTATTGTGCATTTTTACTTTTTAACCGCTTTTAATTATTTCCGGAAAAGTCACGATGTCGTACACTTGTCGTTTTGGCACACGTCGCAAACCGCGCCACATGAAATGCACCCGCGATTGACGACATGCTTATTTTTATTATTGTTTGAAGTTCTGGTCGAGTCACGTGAAACGCACACTCGAATTGGAATTTATGTATCATGACTATGCCACGGGAACCGTACCCATATTCACGATGATTTATTACTCACGCCTAAAGCAAGCTACGAATGTTTATAAGTTGCTTAATTTTTCCCAAGGTTTGAGATCAAATGTGAAGGTGTGTGACTTTAACTACTAAATGTCAGTATAACCAAATACGTTACAACTGAATTCATTACTAATAAATTATTCGTACAATCTATCCAAGAAAATCACAAAATTCTGTGTCAATGTTCCATAAGATTTTATCCAACAGAAAATGGTTTTCTCATTTCAATTTACTGGTTTATGAGGATGATTCATTGCTTTTGAATACGCAAAACAACCTTCCAAATTGATTCACATGCCTCAGGAGAAAATGAATTTAACAAAGAATCATTTCAAACATGATAAACAAATTTTAACGTTATTAATATTGCTTCATTACAAAGATTGACTGTCGATTCTTACATCACAACCAACTTTATTAACTGGTATGTTATTCTTTCAAATCAAACAACAGTACAACAAACTAAATATCAACTAATGGACTTATACCCCTCGTGCCTTTTGTTTTAACTTATTCATTCATTTTTAGCTTCAACATTTACAGCAAAGAAGAAATTAGCAAAATGTCAGTAGTAGGCCACTTCCAATTCCATTCTCCAATATATATACTGTTAACAAGCAGGAAATCGAATAACTAGAGCAATTGTACTATTGTAAACTAAGCACACAATTAATTCATTACTCTAGGAACAGAACCTATTGATCATGATTCAAGCCAAACAAACATAGTCATGGAGAAAATCAAACATGTTAATGCACCAATCCATATTTTATTACAAAATAAATGAGCTCAATACTTAGACTGATCCAAAGGCTTGCAGTCTTGATTTAATACTTGGTTGCAGACAAAAGGAAAATAAATCTCTGGCTTTGGAGAAGAAATAACTACAACTACTTGAAACAGCAAATGAGACCAAAACCATTTCTAGCAGCAGAAATGAAATATCGACCAAATTGAGATCTCAACTCAATCGATTCCCATTGAACTGAGGACAATTTGAGGAAAGGCAGAAACCGAATTCATATTCCGATTCGTTCCCCACATTTTGTCAGCTTATCTTTTTTTGATTCCTGGAGTTTACTGACTTTAGGTTAATGACATTGTTGGAAATTCTTCTTAATTTTCTCGAAAAGATTCTTGGACCTCTTTTTCCGGTTTTAATGTCTAGATGAGTTCTCTCTCCCTCTGTGTGGGGGTATGTCTTTTTAATTTTGAGAGAAAGAAGATCTGAAGGGGGAGGCGCCGTTTTTTGTTTTTCTCTAGGGGAGAGGTCTAATTTGGTCTCTTCTCCCTTTTAGGGTTTGGGAAAATGGGTGTTTTAAAGAGGGGGGATCCAGGTGGGTCATGGAAATTGGGCTTCTAAAGGCGTGGGCTTGACTAAACCAATTTGTGTGGCTAAACTATTATATATATTTTACTCATTAATTGGCTAATGACCTAATTAATTAACTAGCCTAAAAATGCATGTAGAGTTACTAATTTATTTTTTGGTATTTTAGTGTTTTACAAATGCAATTAATTATAAAATGTAAAAATTCAAAATATTTTTGTATTTTCTTTAGGATTTAAAATGCAACTTAAAAATGTATCAAACATGAATACGTACAAAGCTAACTAAGTAAAAATAATTTAAAGCTATTTTTGGATTTTTTTAGGAGTAATTTTATATTAGGGCAAAAATTACGTGCTCACAAGACTTAATCTGCAGGAACGTTGTTCTGTGTCATGGCTCATTTGATCACATGCTTAATAATAATTGGATGTTAGCTCATTTTTTGTTGAAGATTTTGAATTTAACTGCTAAAGTAATGTACCAATAAAAAGAGGCACCCATGCTAGTTGCCCAGTTCAAGTAAGCAATCACATTATATCTTCCTTGATATGCAAAAACCTTTATTTTTCTCTTCCTCTCAAAGTCAAAATGTTTGTTTGTGTCTCCATGGTTAACATATGCTTATCGATGAAGAAACTGGATTATTTGAAGTTCAGTGGAACAATGATATTTGGATAGCTAGACCCTTGGCATGATATTTCCTGTCTGACCGTCTCCACATGGACTTTGTTTCAACCCACCTAGGTTGTTTGAGGATTTGGAATTTGAATTTGAGGTGGACCTCATCATGCTAGGTAGCATAGGAGAAGAAAGTTTCTTCAATCATTCATGAATTCTTGAAAATTGCCTTCTAATTTTGATTCCTAGAATTAAGTCTTGAGGTGGTTTTATCTGCATGTGAAAATAGAGAATGGTCTGGGTTGAGTAGCTTAAAGTTTCCTGCTAAAGAGTCCTAAAAATTCTTTTAGGTCTTTGCCCGGAAACTCAAGCTTTAGATTTCATTACATTTACATTTTCCATTTGTTTTAGCATAGTTTAGGAATCCTTGGTGAAATAAGTAAAATTGAGCTCACAAATTTTATGCTTTACCATACCTTGCAATTAAATATATTCGCGGCAACCAGTTCACTAATTTGTCTTCCCAATGAATTGTTTTTTTTGTTGGCTTTTGTTAGTTAATGATTAGTATTGAGACACTCTATGGTGTCGATTTAACGTGTTCTCCATCTTTTTGATATTGCTCTGTCCCTATGCAAATCTTAATAGTATCTCTTTTTCCCTATGTGTCCAATTTTCATGTAATACAAGCAATAGAGTGGTCTTCATTTATACTCCACAGTGGTTTTGGTTCCCCATAAATTTCAAGTTTTTCTTGATAGTTATTTGTGTCTTTATCATTTACTTGTCCTGCTAGTATACTATGATCCTCTTGCTAACGTTGTAATTATGTCCTCAAAGAGTTTTCGGTGCCTCTAAAGTGGTTCTTTTAATGTATGCCTTTTTGTTTAGCTTTACTCCAAGGATGGATCTAGGAGTTGGAAACTAGTGGGATCAGATGGAAGCATCCGTTTGAAAATTAAAGAGCCATCAGCAAATATAGTCCTTCTAGATTACATCTCATCAGGGAAATGGAAGGATATTATAGATTTCGATGACCACCTCGATGACATTAGCAAGTAAGAGCTTTACACTGTAGACTGATTGAACTCGCCAATATCTGCATTCTTCTAAGAGGCGCGTGTTTTCTGCTTTTGCTCTTATATTGTCAGGGATTGGGTGAATACAGAGCTCTTCAATTGAAGTTTCTATGTGGAATTGGCTATTGTCCTGTTGGTGCTGTATCATGGGTGGTATTATTCATTCCAGTGCAGTTGCTGACTGTCTGAAGAAAAGGATTCATCACTTCAAAAATCACAAACGCGAGAAAGATTTACCATTTCAGTAATGGCTTTGTGATCCAATAGAAGGTAGCCCCGGGGTTTGATTCTCACAAATGTGCGCGCAGTAGTACCTGTGCATGAAACTACATATCATTTGACCTTGGTGATGACTGAGGATGAAGTTTACTGAACTTTGCTTTCTGTCATAATCCAGAATGATTTGAATTTAGTTGTTTTTCTTTCAAGTTGCAACTATTTATCTGCAACGAGGAAACTAGTAAATTATCAAAGTTTAGCAAGTCCAAGTGAAAAACTTCAAATTTACTCAAGCGTGATTGTGGAACTTATGAAACTTGTTTTTTCTATTTGAAAACATGATTATGGCTTTTGGCTTTCAGTCTGAATAGTGTTTGTGTTTCACTAATTCCATTTAGTTGCCACGGCCCTCAGTCTACAGTCTTTAGGCTTAGACTGTTAGAATTATGGTCAATTTGTTTTGTGGCCCATTACAAACTTGTATTTTGTTTTATGACCCCATCTCTTTTTTTTTATACATGAGAGATTTGTTTTTACACATAAGAGATCTTTCTTTTACACGTAAGAGATCTAAAAAGGACATTTTCTTAAATTTAACATTGTAAAAGGCCATTAAGACCTAAAACCTCGTAGAATTATTACATAAGAAAGTAGGATACAGAATAAAATAGAATTATTTAATAATAAGAAAGAGCCAGATGAGAGAAAAAAATAAGGTAACGACACGATTACACCAAATCAATCGTTACATGAAGTGACACTTTTTGTCGTTACGTAGCAATAAATTTAACAATACGATAATAAAATTTGAATTACAATAAAAACAAACATTGTATTTATAATAACAAATACGATACAATATAATAAATAATCACCCTACAAACAATGTTGTTAGACTGTACACCCATTAAACAAATCCATGCTTCAATAGTGCTTTGTTTCTTCAGCTTCGTCACGCTGTGTTCTTCTCATAATTATATGCTTTGGATTATGCTTGTTGAGTCACTTAGAGATTATTCCAAAACAAGTAGAAAAAAATGAAAAAGAAAGAGGCAACATGATGACGTGGTATTCCACTTTTATTTCATAGATTAGTAATAGTTGGTAGTGGATCCAAAATTAAAAGTCTGTAAGTTGATAGTGAGTGTGTAAATAGATGCGCACATATTTTTTTAAAAATTTAAAAGTATATATACTTGAATTGAAGATAGAAAATGTATTTGTATGCAGATAAAGTAACAATTCGACGTTTGAATCATGGATATGGTCACGCAGCAATTCTAATTCCAATTTCGTACATCAAATTGTTACTTCGTCCTTTTCTTAAGAAGATAAAATCGGTTGAATCACATATCAATGTAGTGATGGAAAATTGGTCTTTTTATATGATCGATGCTGTTGAGTTTCTAAAATAGACTTATTTTTTTCACTAATATTGTATATAAGTTGAACTCATTTTACAAAATTCTTAGAAATGGCGTTGCCTACCGTACCATTTCAGCTGCATTCAAGTTCAGACGATTTGGTTGCCTCAACAATACTACTTTCTTGGGTAGCATTTGAGTGCACACTTGGAAGTTACTCAAATAATTATTTGAAATTGTTCAGTTTTGCCATTTATAATATTAGAGGCGGATCCAGAATTTCAACAGGATTGATACATTATTGTGAAGAGATGGTTTAGAATTCACATTTAACGGGTTTAACTTTAGTTTTTTACCTTGAACCCACCACATTTTTAAAAATTATAAGTTCAAAATTATATTCTTTTTGAAATTTTAGTGATTTTAACATATATATCTATACTCCATGCCGAAAATGGTCGTCCCGAGTAGGATTTGAACCGTTAATTTCACTTGTAGAGGTGCACCAAATAATTATTGCATCATAGGAGTCTTTGAGCATGCGTGTGCTCACACATATTTAAGTATTTTTGAAAAAATATAATATTATTATACATGATTTAGGGGGAGACACATGAATTCAAGTGAACCCACGCTCCTTAATCTAGATACGCCCCTACATAACACTTTTGATCCAAGTAGCAAATTGTCTTGTATTTGTCCTTTCCATTAACGGAGTTCTTACGTAACGTCGACGGATTTTACGTGTTCAAATTCTTAGAGAAAAAAGATTCATATTTATCTCTTGACTTTTGGCTATGGTTTAATTACCTCTTATTTTAGGGCTCCGTTAAGGGTCAAGTACTAAACGAGATGTTTCCTATCAATGAAGATAATACTCTTTCCGTGCTGCTTTATATGCCACAGTTGGGAGTACGAGGGTCAAACTATTTAGTTTTTTTTATCTGAATTGGTACATAGAATCTTCAATTTTTTAAAATATAATTTACATATTTAGAAACTACGTAAAAAATATTATATGTCGTAATAATTAACAATTCAAAATTTTTAAAAAGACATATGAAAAATTATAATTAAAGAAAATCTTTTTGACTCTCTAGATAATGATTGTGTTACATAAAATGAATTGGACAGAGTCCTAAATTTAAAAATCTAACAAAATTGATAAATTAAATAGTACATAGCAATTTAATCCGTTTCCATTTTCTTTAATCCAATGGTCAACATTTCGTCTGAATGTTTGGCAGACCATTATCATTAATTTAAAAAAATATTAGGTTGAAGGCGAATCTTTGGATAAAGTGGATAGTGGAAAAGATGGAGTTTTTTCCTTAAATAATTAATTAATTTATTACATTAATAATCTGAAACTGAAAGCATGAGATACAGGTTGGAGACTGTGGTGTCCCACATGTCGATTCAGACTCTTGTGTTTGGGACAAAATACAATCAAATAATTGAAAGCGAAAAGCTAACACTCTGGAGCCAACATTTAAAATTTATGAATTTGAAATTCTAGTATATTTAAGTTGTTAAATTTTAAATTCAGCCGAACTCGTAACTGAAATTGGTGGCAGAATAATAAGTAATTTTTCATCATTGAAGGTTTCGTGTTTGAACAATAGTATGAAGTCGCACTTGATACATAATATGTTACTCCCCCAAAGTGAGACTCTTCGATGTGAATCCGGTTTTAGTTGGAACTCAAAATAGGACTTTCTAATGCAAAATTGAATTAGTCAGGTTTCAAAATGGATAACAAACATTAAGAGCCCATTTGGACATAAGAAATTTTTCGTTTTTTTCGAAAATTTTTCACGTTTTTTCGAAATCAGCGTTTGGTCATAAAATTTTCAATTTTCACTTGAAAATATATTCATTTAGACATAAGAAATTTTTTCTTTTTTTTATTTTTTTTTTTTTTACTTTTTTCGAAATCAGCGTTTGTTCATAAAATTTCCAATTTTCACTTGAAGATACATTTTGGAATTTTTCGAAATTTTGAAAAACTCCAAAAAACTATTTTTTTCAAAATTTTCACTCAGATTACTTATAAAACTTCAAAACAACCCAAAATTATATTCATGTCCAAACACAACTCTAATTTTCAAATACCATTTTCACTTGAAATTTTTTTTCACTTTTTTTTTTGGACTTTTACAATTCTTATGTCCAACAACAACAACAACCCAGTAAAATCTACTAATGAGGTATGTGGAGGGTAGTGTGTACGCAGACCTTACCCCTACCCCAAAGGAGTAGAGAGGCTGTTTCCGAAAGACACTCGGCTCAAGAAAACAAAAAGACAAAAGGACAAAAAGAGACAATATTAGTATCACCACAACAATCATAGGAAAAATAGTAACACCATGAAATCCAGAAGAAAGATGCAAAGCAAAGAGAGATAATATTAGTATCACCACAACAATAATAAGAAAATAGGAACACCATGAAATCTAGAAGAAAGATGTAAAGCAAAAGCGATAGCTAGTAAGTAGGACCTGCACTGAAAAGCGAAATAGTGAGACACAACATTGCCACTAACTATCTTAAACAAAACCCCTACATTGCTAGTCTCATAATGGTACGAAGTAAGGCACAACTCAACTACCTCCTAACCTACAACCCTAATACTCGACCTCCACATCTTCCTATCAAGTGTCATGTCCTCGAAAATCTAGAGCCTCGCCATATCCTGCATGATCACCTCTCCCCAATACTTATTAGGCCACCCTCTACCTCTTCTCGTGCCCTCCACAACCAGCCGATCACATCTCCGTACCGGAGCATCTGGGCTTCTCCTCTGAACATGTCCGAACCATCTAAGCCTCGCTTCCCGTATCTTGTCATCAATGGGAGCCACGTGCACATTCTCCCGAATATCATCATTCCTAATCTTATCTATCCTAGTATGCCCGCACATCCACCGCAACGTTCTCATTTCTACTACTTTTATATTCTGGATATGTGAGCTCTTAACGGGCCAACACTCAGCCCCATACATCATGGCCTGTCTAACCACCGCTTTATAAAACTTACCTTTGAGTATCGGTGACACTATCTTGTCACACAGAACTCCAGATGCTAACCTCCACTTCATCCATCATACCCTAATACGATATGTTACATCATCGTCGATCTACCCTCTCCCTGGATAACCGAACTAAGGTACTTGAAGCTGCCTCTACTCGAGATGACCTGCGAATCAAGCCTCACATCCACGCCCACTTCCCCTAGCTCAGCGCTTAACTTACACTCCAGGTATTCCGTCTTCGTACTGCTCAGCTTGAAACCCTTAGACTCAAGAGCCTGTCTCCAAACCTGCAGCCTCTCGTTAACACCGGCTCGTGACTCATCAATCAGAACTATGTCATCGGCGAATAGCATGCACCATGGCACATCCCCTTGAATATGGTGTGTTAACGCGTCCATCACCATGACAAATAGAACGGACTGATATGTCCAAACGCCAACAAAAAATTATTTTTCAAAATTTTCACTCAAATCACTCATAAACCTTCAAAAACAACCCCAAATTATATTCATGTCCAAACACAACTTTAATTTTCAAATAATATTTTTACTTTTTATTTTTGAATTTTACAATTCTTATGTTGAAACGCCAACTAAATAGGAAATTAAAAAAAGAACTCTCTCTCCTCCCTCTCTCTCTTCCCAATAAAATTGTTAAAGTCCTAAGCTTCTTTACACTCTCAAAAGCAGTTGCCACCTCTTTTCTTTCTTCTCTCTCCACACATTTTTTCGTTAGAGGTCCCCTCTCTTTATCTCTGTCAACAGTAGTGCTTCTACTTCCCCATTGCTAAAGCAAAAAAACAACCCTAAAGTTCTGATCTTTTTGACACTTTAGGTACTATTCTTTAGTCTGCTTTTCTTTTTTCCCTGCACTTTTCAAATGCTCCTAGATGAACTTTATTTTTTAGCATCTGGGTCTTTCTGGGTAAGTTTTTTTGATCCTTTTTGTAGGGTTTTCTTGAAAAAA